CCCTCCGTTTGCTGCGCCCCCCCCCCAACCCTGAGTCTGTGGTAGGTTTTTATCTAGCGGTATCTCCATCATCATCCTCTCTAAATCCCCCCTCCCCCCCGGCCCCAGTTCCTAGAAAGCCCATGTTTTAGGATTGGCAAGTATACGAGCGATGGCCTCGGTGAACTTTAATTCGTAAATGGCTGGCTCTGCTTCCCCCAAAAAGTCCAAAAACTGCACTTCAGTAGTGCAGGAGCTGCTTCCGGTAAATCATGGTCGATTTGCAACAATTCCTCCGTCAAGTCAAAGGAGGCCAGACCAGAAATATGCAGCGAAGCAGGTACTAAAGACAGGAATGAACTTGGAACGGAGTTTCTGGAAGGAGCTGTCCAGGAAACATGCTTGAATTGCAGTGGAAATCTCTGAAATTCGTATTCATAGGAATCAGAAGTAATACCGCACGGCCAAGTCAAAAGTTGGAGCAACTGGTGGAAGTCACTCCGCTGCGCCCCAGGCTCTGCACAGCAAGAGAGGGCGGTGGTGGAAGTTAAGCTCTTGAATCGGTTAGGGCTTGTAAGAAAATGGATGGGTCTCCAGGAGCGCTCAGGCTGAGCAGCTGCCGTGCCTGAGACTTTGAGCAGTCGTCTGGGAAAGAGGCACGTGAAGAGGGCTAGAAATCGGGATGCACTGCCGATTTACTGCACGGGAAGCAAGAAGAGGCCATAGGAGAGGACTGGAAAGCTGGGAGACCTCACCCGGAAGGAGTTTCACGGAGAGGGCTAAGCAGCCTGGTAACCCAACGTGTACGGGGAAACTTCTGCCAGGCCACTGGAACGGGCTGGCCATGGGCCTCAGCTAAAAATGAGCCGGGAAATCTCCTTGGGAGGATTTGTGGCATCTCAGAGGTGGTCCGAAGAGAAGGTCCCGAGTATATTAGCGACTGGAATAGAATTTGTTCTGCAGTAGTTTCCTGAGACGAGTAGATGAAGTAACAGCAATTCCATTTCGGGCCGACCTGCACGGTCTGAGCTGGAGAATGCAGCTTTCAGGTGATGAGGTTAGAGAAGGAGGTGACTGAGACCGGAGGAACCACTTGGACTGTGAGATCTCAGGACTGCATCTTGTTTCCTGAACGCGAGCTCAAGTTTTGTGCAGGTGAAAGAAAGCAGAAAGATAAGTAGAAAAGAAAGAAAACAGTGGAGCTGTGGAAAAAAATAAATTAATTTGTAGAACAAAAAAAGGCAAGGCTTTGCCTGAAATACTGAAAT